TCTGTATAGTATTAAAATTTTCCCATGTGATGAAGCAGGAAAAATAGCTATAAGTGGGAATTATAAAATGCAAGTCTATGGTATTGTCTTGGTCCATTTGTGTTGCTATAAATTAATACTAGAGGCTTCTGACGGCTGTAAAAGAAGAATGGCACTAACATCTGCTTCTAGTAAAGGCTTCGGGCTGCTCTCACTCCTGCTGGAAGGCTAAGAGGAACCAGCATGTGCAGAGATCATATGATAAAAGTAGAGAAAAAGGGAGAAAAATGCTACATTATTTTAAACAACCAGCTCTCACAGGAACTAGCTGAGCAAAAGTACACTCAACACCCCACCTACCAGAAAAGATATTAATCTATTCATGAAGGATCCACTCTGATAACCCAAACACCACCCACTAGGCCCCACTTGCAACACTGGAGATCAAGTTTCAACATGGACCTTAGAAAGTCAAGTGTCCAAACTATAACAGATACTTACACAAATCTATAAATTACCTGTATGAAAGCAATTTTATATTTTTAGCTCAGAAAATGAATAGTCAGGTTTTTTAATGAATAATTGAGTTCCTACACTGAAGTAAAAAAGAAACAAAGTTTGTTATACCAGAGTATTTCAAAGTAAATACCACAGAAATATATCTGATTGTTTCTAGATGCTAAGTAGGAAGTACTTTTGATCAAGAAATGAAAAGCCAGGTGGCAAAAAACACCCTACGATATAATAATCGTCAGGATATTTAGGTTATCTGCCACCTCAAGTGTTTACCTCCATATTCATAGTATATAAAGAAGATGTAGAGATAGACTTACTGTATACATGTATACTGTATAGGTGTTTGTCATAATTGCTCTTTTCAAACCAGGGATATATTTTACACAGGCTTTTGCTTTTTACTTATGAGAAACTAGACCAAAATATGAAATTGAGAAAAATCTGGATCTATACTTAATATTTCATATATACATTTATTAATTAATGCATTTTTGCATATTTTATGGGGTACATGACATATTTTGTTACTTGCATAGAATGTGTAATAATCATCAGGATATTTAGGTTATCTGTCACCTCAAGTGCTTATCATTTCCATGTTGAGAACATTTCAAGTTCTCTTTCCTAGATATTTTGGAATAAGCAAAGCATTAACTATAGTCACTCTACTCTGATATCAAACATTATAACTTATTTCTTCTGTTTCACTATATGTTTTCACCTAGCAACCAACCTCTCTTCCTCCATACCCACATGCCCCAATGCCTATCACCACCACCAGCACACCCTCTTCCTGGCCTCTGGTAACCACCATTCTACTCTCTACCTTCCTAAGATCAACTTTTTTAGCTCTCACATGTGGATGAGAACATGAAGTATTTGCCTTTCTGTGTCTGGCTTATTCTACTTATCATAATGACCTCTTGTTTCATCAATGTTGCTGAAAATAACCAATTTCATTCTTTTTTTAATGGACAAGTAATGTTCCACTGTGCATATATACTACATTTTCTTTATCCAATTATATATTTATGGACAGTTAGGTTGATTCCATATCTTTGCTATTGTCAATAGTGTGCTAATAAACATGGGGTTACACATACCATTTGATATGCTGATTTTCTTTCCTTTGGATAAATACCCACTATTACGATTGCTGAATCATATGGTAGGTCTATATTTAGCTTTTTGAGAAATTTCCATGTTGTTTTTTATAATAGCTGTACTAATTTATATTCCCACTAACAGTGTATAAGAGTTCACTTTTCTCCACATCCTTGCCAGAATCTGTAATATTTGTCTTTTTGATAATTGCCATTTTAACAGGTGAGATGATATCTCATTGTGGTTTTGATTTGCATTTCCCTAATGATTAATGATGTTGAGTATTTTTTTATATACCTGTTGGCCACTTGTATTTCTTCATTTGAGAAAATTATTTCTCATATTTTTTAATGTCCACATAAATGTTGGTATTAACCTCATAATTACTGAATGAGATTATGACTAATTTGACAGTTTCCCCATTCACTTGCATAATCCCATTCTCAATTATTTTCAACAACACAGGTTATTAGGTTAGCGGGTATCATTCCTTAATTTACCCCCATATTCATATTTTGTAGAGAACATGTAGATGTAGACTTACTATATTCATCTATACTGTATAGATTTTTGTCAAAGTTGCTCTTTTCAAACCAGAGTTATATTTTGCACATGCTTTTGCTTTTTACTTTTCTTTATAAGATTTTGCTAAATCTGACCTATCCCTACACACAGCCTGTTTACTTGTGGAGTCCTAATTCATTCTTGCTAATGTTATATATTATTCCATGGTGGATATGTAATATACAATGTATTTAATTACTTCTCATCACTAATCTTTCATTTTATTTCAGTTATTTTGCCATAATTTCATATTTTGCCATAACAAAATAATATTTTTAATATCCTTGAACATATCACAGTTTCAACTGGGGCATTTATTTCTAAATGATACATTTCCATCAGTGAGATTTTTGTGTTAAAGAAACAAGCACTGTGTTTTTTCTTAAAATATTTTGTAAGAATACCTTCATAAAAAGGCATAAAATTTTAGTTTCTATGAAGTGTATATGATAGTGCATTTCCCCTACATTATTAACTACGTTCACTTTAACCCTTTTTCTAAACTACAAGAGATAAATATCTCATTAATAATTTCAATTCCATTTTCCTTAATTCTAGTGATTTCTGCATCTATTTATGGTTCTTAACCACTTGCTCCTCTGTGACTTGCCTGTCTTTGCATTGGCTTATATGTCTATGTATAGACTATAGATTATCACTTTTATTATAAACATAGCACATTTATTTGATATTCTCATTGCACATTTTTAAATATCTAGTCTTTTTATTCACTATGTATGGTGTGTTTTGCCACAAAAGGCTTTTCATGTCTACGTGGTGAAATGTTCATTTCTCTTTTATGAATTTGGTAGTATTAGCATTCCCTACTATGGAATATATCTCACTAATTTTTGTTTCCTGTTTTGATGTATCTGAAACTGATTTTGTAACTGGTTTAAATGCTGCTCCAATTTTATTATATTTCAAATGGGTAGCCTATATTATTTTATTTCTAAATAAGCTATTCTTTTGCCATATATTAGAAACTACATTTCCTATATATTAGAATCTGCTTTCAGGGGATCTATTTCTGGATTGTATAGTCAGTTCCACAGGTCACTAGCTTTTTAGATCTATGTTCTGATAGCCAAAAATGACACTAACCATTCTTCATATTATTTCTTCACATATTTCTTTACTATGTACCAGAATCTATCCTTCCATATGACTTTAAAGATAAATGAATGCTGTTTTTAAAAGAGGAAATTTTAATTAAAATTATTTTAAATTTATACAATGTATTCAATTTAGTCAAATCACTATAGGAATACTATTTTTGCATGCAAGAAAATGGTAACCCTAGGATGTGCTTTTCACTTGTTATGATAAGTTTTCAGGGAGTCAATAGACTTCTGGCTATATTTACATTGGTCCTTGTTCAATATTACATTTAATCCTTAAAGGTTACAAATTTTTCACCATCTTAAAAATACTATTTTTTATTTTTATTTTTTAGTGCTCAATTTAAAGTTATGATTTTTCTGTGTTTAGCTTGTATGAATCTGCTTGACTAAATTTTCTGATTGATTCAGTCTAGTTGGGCTTCTTTTTCTAACTAAAACCTGTTTGTTTGTTTTCTACATTAACTAACTTTAGAGTTAATTACATGTAACTATTTTTTAAATTGCTATCCAATTAAATTATCACATTTATTAAAAAATCAAACTTTTCTACTTATTTATAATGGCTGCCTTGATTTTCTATATTAAATTTCTAAAATGACTTGGATTTATTTGTAGGCATCCTATCCTGTTCCATTGGTTTGTCTCTTCTTCCAGTAAAACTACACTATTTTAATTTAAAAATATATTACATAATTCTGTTAGGACTAACTCCCCTACCTTGTACTTTTTTCAGGAATTTTTATCAAGATCATGTTAAATTTGTAAATTAGGGGAAACAGACACATTAACAGTGTTGAATACTTCTATCCCTGAATATTTGTTCAATTCTACTTTAACGTCTTTCTAAAGTGTTTTAAATATTCCTTAGATAGTTCATACACATTCTTAGGTTTATGACTTTCTCTGTCATATATATATATATACACACACGCACATATATATGACTGTAGGCTATAAAAAAATGAAGTCTTCTTATTCATTTTGTCTTTTGTTAGTCATAAATATTATATACATAGTTATATAGTTACATATAGTTTTATACATTTAGTTATGATATATAATATTCAAATTCATTGTTATACTTTATATATTAATTTTATATCCTGCTATTTGCCTAAATTATTTTACTTTTACTTTAAGTAGTTTTTAAAAATTTTTGTTTTCTGTTTTACAATTATGTTAAACTGAAAAAATATTGGTTATACTTCCTTTCTAAGTGGGTCACTTTGGCCAAATTATATTTTCCCAGAAAATTTTACATTTTACCTAAGTTTTTAGCTGTGTTTGCTTAGTGATGTGCAATGAATACTCATTATTTTTTCAAAATTTAATCCAGTTGAAGGGTTATTTATTCCTTTCCATTTTTATTTCTAGATATCTGTTCTTTCTCCACTTTCTCTTTAATTAGGTTGAAATAGTTTGTCTTTTTGGTTGATGTTATCTGTGAACCATATTTAATTTATATATTAGTTTTATATGTTTGTTTTCTAACTCAATAATCTTTTTTACTTTATGAATTTCTTACTTTGACTCTCCACTTCCAAGAGAAGTACTTTTTCTTTTCTTTCTTTTTTTCAAATGCTTCATTAATTTCTGATTTTGTTGCTGTCTTGGGGCAGATAATCATAGATACCTATTACTGGTAACTCACAATGCAAATATAAGGTAGAGTTTATTGGGGGGAAGCATACCAGCAGAGAAATAGCAGACCACACACAGTCTTTGAACTGACATTTCACAGTATAGGCTGAGCATAACTGTGCTGAGTGTACTTTGAACAAGGTTCCAGCTGCCTGGACATCTAACTGAGAGGCCTCCAAGGTCAGTTTTGAGCTCCACTCCAACAAAATGTCTGTGGAGTTTCCTCAAAGGGATTGGGGAATACTTAGTTTCTCTGAGTAACAAAGGGCAGATAAAGGAATCTCCAGGCCCAGAAGTGCTGTGAGTGTTTCTGTGAGTCAAGAGACAAAGTCTTTATACTAAGGCCCTAGGCAGGGGCAACAGACTTACATGCCAGCTAAGCTGACATTAGCCAAAGACATTGCCTCTGCACAAATATCCTCAGGGCAACAGAAACTGAGCCAACGCTCTTCTGAGCCTTGAAAAGGAGAAAGGAAATGAGCTGCTGATGCCATTCAGATATGTCTCACAGCGGTTGCACTATGGTCAGAGAAAACTATTTCTAATATTCATAGTTTTGCAATTTATTCAAGTTTTCTTTGTCTTCTACTATGTGGTCAGATTTCATGCCTTGGTGAAGAAGGTCCTTATATTAGAATATGGAGTTTGATATATCTTAATTGTTTCTGTCTAGCGTGAGAGAAGTACATTAAAATCTGTTTTTGTTCTCTTTGTTTTTCTTTTTGTGCATGTCTATTTTACCTTTTATTACTTAGTGGGTTTTTTAATAACAGATGTTACTAGTTTGTTTAGTCCACTTATATTAATAATTGTCACATTCTATTGGGAATTATAACCTTTAATATTAAAACATTTTTGCCTGATTTAATGCATTTGTCCTATTTAGGTTTTTTACAATTTTGTTTGAAGTGTTTTTCTCTCTCACTAGGAGAGGATTCCTCTACAAGGAGTAGTAATGGACTAGAGTAGCTTTTTCAACTTTCAGCGTTTTAGATTTTGTATGAGATTGTTTCAGTGAAGAACTCTAATCATTATAACTTTTTGTGACCTCTTCTTTGTCTCCCGGAGATACAGCAGATTCAGGAATGTGTTTTCTTACTTCCTGCTCTATGTTTCCTAGAGTCATATTGTCCTTGTTTTCAAAAACAATTTTCCTACTTTTAGATGCTTATTTTTCTGTACAGTAATGTCTGGTTTTTCACTCTCCTGGGTTTTTTGTAGCTTGATATATGAACCTATTCTCTTTCTTACCCAGACTGTTTTTGCTATGCTCAACTTGATACCTTTTCCTATGTCTCCTCTAAATTAAACTCAGTCCTTATGGGAGGGAAGATTTTTTGATGTTTCCGAAATCCACATCAGTATTTGATTTTCTGTTGTTAAATATTTACAGCTACTTTGGTTCTTTGTGTGCCTTTACTTACATCTTAGAGGTCATGAATGAACAAGTATCCCAGATATTTCTGATGTCCTGGGACTTAATCAAATTTCTTTTTGAAGCTTTGCTGTTGTTTTCCATTTGGGGTTTTAATTTATTTTAATTAATTTATTTATTTATTTTGAAATATTAAGGTTCCAGATCTGATAGTGATCAGTTTCTCTTTTATTACTTCTACACATGCTAACAAACTGTACATTTTGCACTGTTTCTGCTGTTGGTAGTCTAGTCATACCATCCCCATCTGCATATTCTGAGCCTTATATTGATGCCATGTTTCTTAGTTTTTATTGAAGATATTTTCTATTTCTTTTGCTGGCCAAGTAGACTTTTGGTTTTTAGGAGGAGTTTGGGGCCAATACAAAATTATGCATTCACAATGATACCAACACCCACAATAAAAATATTATGTTTCTGTGTGTGTAACCATCGCAGCCTCACAGTTGCAAACAAATAAGAAGTTTGTTTTTCTCCACACAAATAGAGAATGTTGTTTGGTTTTGTTTCATGCAGTAATTTGTAAGCTATATCTCCTCTTCTCTTTAAATTGCTCAGCATCACTAGAAGGAGGTTTACTACTCACTTTTTATGCCTTTCATATTGTTCTATGTTCACAAAGTTTCATTCATTAACACTAGTTCTTTATTTACTTCTTTTTATCCCCAACCAAGTGTAGATTTCCTACAATCTCTGACAATCTTTTTTTAATCACCACTGATAGCATTTTTTAATCAGTGAGTTTTCTTCATTTGAAAGCAAATAAAAGCAACCCAGTTGTAAAAGATTCAGTTTATTAATGTGATGGTGAGGAAGCCATTTATTTTTTTAAAAGCTAGAAAACCAGTCTTGAAAGCTGTGTGGCCAGGAGCTATGCTCACAATTACCCAGATTTGTTCAGTAAAGACTTTTCTGCTAATGCACCGGAGAATAATTTAGCTTGCCCTGCTAATATTGCTCACATAGGCACTAGAAGCTGTCCCTAGAAACAACGTCGTTGGTGCCTCTGAAACTAATTACATGTGGAAGCACTGGTGTCACTCATTGTCTAAATAGATCCTCATGCTCTTCTATTCAATTTATAGAATAAGTCATCTCACTGAGGAACTTAAGATATTCATATTTTCTACTAAATAGCTGTAGTAGTAACAAAAACTCAAATCTTACATTTTTACTTTCTTTAGTGGGAGATAGTTATTACCACATAAGTTGAGAATTTTCTCAACAATTGAAGTGTATGCCTTTATTGAGCAGCAGAGAAGATGAAATATGTCACTACAATAATAATTTGCCTTACCATATTATGATTTTTTTTAGTATTTATTTATTTATATTTTTTTAAAACAAGAGTAGTCCTATTGTAGTACATATTATGATTTTTTAAGATGAACATGAACTCTTTATGGTCATTATATGTGGAATAGATTTGAAAGAAAACTATGCATGTATATGTATACAAACATCCATGTATGTGTGTGTACATATATATTATATATACTGTCAGAAATTTAAACGTTTTTCTCTAAGGTCTAAGAGACTAAGTCAGCTGAATGAATTGATAATAGAATAACAGAAGAAAATGTAAACATTTATAAATTTATTAATGGGCACATAGATATAGGAATTCCACAAATATTGTTACAGGATTCCTTTACTGCTACTTTGCCAGCCAGAAGTCTCTGCAGCTGCCATGACAACTTCCCAGGGCCTCACTCAGGCCTACAGGGCTTGCTCCAATGACTTGGCCTGGCAGACTGCACTTGGCTCATACCTTGGCCCAGATCCTACACCAGAACAGGGATGGCATGCTCAGCCATAGCTGGACCAGGCATACTGCAAGTGGCTTTCACATTGGGCACCAGTGTCTAGACAAGGGGAACATGGTAACACTTGAAAACTCAGAGATGCCAGCAACTGCAGAGCCAGAGGGGATGTTATAGCTTTCACCTGAGGGGAATCCTGAGGTCTGACTCCCCAAGAAATGTTGTGGCTTTTGTAGTTCAGCAAGCTGTCCAGGAGGGAATGGTACCCAATGGCTTCACCTCTTCAAAATCACAGCTAGGCAAATGGGAGCATATTACAGCTCTCTTATTCCCATTGCCCACAGCTCAGTGAACAGGAGGGTTAGCACTCATTTGTTCCTGCTGCCCGCAGCTCAGTGAGTTCTGGGTTCCTGTCCCAAAATCAGGAAGAATAAGGTGCACAAACACCAGAGAATGAGTAAGGCAGAGAATAATTTTATTAAGTGACAGAAGGAAAGTTCTCAAATGTTAGAGGGCACCTTGAATTCAGCTTGCCTTCAGCTGCAAGAAGGAACCCAAAAGTGGGCAGTCCTCTTTGCAGCTGAGTCTGAGGTTTTTAAGGGCTCATAAAATAGGGGCATGTGTGTTGATTGGTTCATGGGTAGTCTTAGAAAAAGGACCATTCAATTGGTTAAAAAGCATTGAGAAAGTTCTCACTCCAGTCATGGGCTTTATGTGGAACCAGCAGTTTGGTTTTCAGGTTTCAGGCTGTCTTTGGCTTGAAGGCTGGATTTCACTGGGGATGTGTCCCTGTCTGCCTAGGAATTTGTCTGTCTCCTGTCACTATCAGTATGAGACTCAAGAGCCAAATAATTGAAGTTTTTGTATTGTATGGAAATGAATAGAGGCTTGAAATATGGTGGCAGGTTAAGGGAGGGAGAGAGAGGAAAGCTGTGGTTAGCAAAACATGTCTTGGTATGCACATGAAGACTGACAAGTAGCAGCTCTCAGAAATAATAAATGGTAGTCTCTGTTAGATCTTTAAAAGTGTCACATTTTCATTCTTCTTATTCTGTGAATTAATCTTTCCTAGACTTGGATAAGAGAACCTCTGAGAAAGCTTCTGCATCTGCTATTGACTAATGTAGATTTTCTCTACAGATGCAAATCTCTCCCACAAGGACAGCTTTTCGAAACTATTTCTGTGTCTGCAGCCCCTCTAAATAGACATTTCAAAATATGCCAAATATATTTTGGGGTGTCATATTTTGGTTTCCTTCAGTCCCCCATTTGAAACTTTATTTTCAGAAATTTCACATGTTAAAGTAAAATTGGTAGCTATGGTGATTTCTTTGAATTAGAAAATTTAAGAGAAGAGATTGGCAGAGGGAAAGAAAACATAGATTGGAACAAGCAGAACAGAACAAATTTGAGTACACTGTACCACATCTTCTTAAATCAGTATCTTAGTCCTTAGAATAAGTCAGTTAAGTTAAACCAGTTCCAGTCTGTGGCCTGTTAGGAACTGGGTCACACAGAAATACGTGAGCCACAAGTGAGCGAGCATTACTGCATGAGCTCAACCTTTTGTCAAATCAGTGGCAGCATTAGATTCTTACAGGATCCTGAACCCTGCTGTGAACTCCACAGGCTAGGAAGCTAGGTTGCATTCTCCTTATTAGATTCTCCTTATGAGAATCTAATACTTGATGATCTGAGGTGGAACAGTTGCATCCAAAAACCACATTCCTGTACTATCTATGGAAAAATTGTCTTCCACAAAAATTGGTCCCTGGCGCCAAAAGGTTGGAGACTACTGCTCTACATAGTGCAAACATACACATATTTAACTAGATGTCTTTATCAGGAAACAAAAATAAAAACAAAAGTTAATGTGCAGAGCAATGTTTAAGTTAGTCTCTGAGTCTGGAGGGCAGCCAGTGGAGATTTTTGAATCTGGGCTGAAGCATCTTCAGTTGAACCAGGGAAATCAATGGCAATTCAACAGAGTTACCTGCTTTGTTGTTTAAATATCATAAAGGTTATCTAAACACAGGCCAGTGTGGTGGTTTCTCTTGAGTCTATTTATCAAGTGAACCCACTTTAGCTTGTAGAAGCACAAGAAAACAGTTTTAATTATTAGCTATTCCAAGTCAAAAGGGGAAAAATAATTGGAAATAATGTTTTGGAGATTTATAGCCAGATACAGGAGGAAACTAAAAGTGTTTGGTATTCAGTACAGATAACAAGTAAAAAATAAAATCTCAAAAATAGTGTTCTAAAATCTAATAACAGGTGTACTATAATTTTATTCTAAAACATATTTTTTCTCTACATCCGCCTCCAT